TGTCCTCAAACACATTACATTGTAGATGCATATATATATATATATATATATAAAGATCCAGTTATAGATAAGTAGATGTTTATGAATATATTTACATCCATTGTCTTCCCCCCCCCCCCCTTTTTTTTTTCCGCCTCCTCCTCCTCCTCCTCTTCCTTCTTCTTCTTATTAGCCTGAGCGCCAGAAGAAGAGGCGTGTGATGTCCTTCCCGTTGTCCGACTCGTGTGAGTCCGTGGTGCGCAGCGCCCACCCCTCCGTTTGAAGGGTGCTGATAATCGTCGAGAAGACAACGCAACGACCGCGCTGATCGCAATAGTGCTGCCCAATCGACATGCGCCACGTGTTCGGCTGACTGTTGACGAGCATAAACTTTGGTGCGTTGCCATTCGCGGCGCCCATGCTGTTTTGGCTCGTCGTTGTGCATTGTGGGAGGGCCTTTTCAAGGCTGTCGAGGGTCTCCTGGCGCAACTGCGTGCCAGTGATGGAGAACGCCGGTGGGTTAAACGTGCAGTTTACAATGACGTTGGGCATTTCCCTTTTCTCCTTTTTTTTTGTTTTGTTTGTTATTCTCCTGATGGTGATTACTACTATTATCCTAAGCGTTGGATATAAAATATATATTTTATTTATTTTATGTGTGATGGCCCAAAGATGCACGCGAGAATTACGGGTCCACACACACACAGAGAGAGAGAGAGAAAGAGGAGGGGAAAAAGAAAATAACTAGACAAATGCATCACACAAGAAACATTCATACATACAAAAAAGAAAGAGAAGATGTCTCTTCACAATAAACCACAGCAGTCGGTCGTGCCACAGTGGGTACGATTAAAAAAGGAGGGGGTAATGATTCCTGCTTCTTATTGTCGAGCATTTTTATGAAGTTCGTCGTGAAGGATGGAAAGGGAGGGAGGGGAATGGGGAAGGATGTGTCGTGTGCCACACAAAAAGTGAGGAAGACGTTTCCCTCCGCTCCCTCTGTGACAGCATCACATGCATATATTTATATATTTATATTTATTTATACATTTACATTGCACCCAACAGGTACCGTTACAACATTTACACCGATGTGTATAAATTGACTACACGCAATGCAAATAAAAAAATCTACGATGTAGCCCCGCCCTCCCCTCCCCTCCCCTTTGCCTCCATGTATAAATAATACAAATACACTTCCTGTTCTTTTTCTTTCCATCCTCCCGTGTGTCTATTCGTCTGATAATTCTCTGTTACTCTGGACTCAATTGTGCGGAACTTGTGCGTGTTTGTGTCTTGTTTTTCTCTTTTTTCTTTACTTGTCTCCTCTCTCTCTCTCTCTCTCTCTCTCTCTCTCTCTTTCTTTCTTTCTTTCTTTCTTTATTTCTTTCCTTCTTTTTCTTTCGTACTTCTTCGTTTCGTGTGTTTGTTGTCTCCTCCGCCCTTATCCTCTTACTGCAATGTGCACATATATAAACATGGGCAGTGGCAGCGGGAAAACAACAAGATATATCTAAAGTATGTATTCTTGAGAACTCGAGTCATTCCACCCACACCGTTATCACATCATATTCGCCCACTCCTTGGGAAATCACCGGAAACGCTCGTAGAATGAACGGGCATGGCGGAACAAACGGCTCAATTCAAAGGAGGATGTTAGCTCCTGCAAGGCAGAACTAGGCGCTGGTCGTGCCTCTTGTGATGCTCCCTGCGCTCTTTTCGTTATTGTTGCCGACAGCGACGACGACGAGAATGGTGCTGGTGGTGGTGGGATGCCATCAACGCCTCGAGGTGGAAGAGATCGAAGGCGAACGCGTTCTGTCACATACGCCCGCACGGCGTCATTGCTGGCCGCCGAGTGGATGTTGGCAAATGGCAACATCGAGGAGGTGGTGCTGGCAGAAGATGTTGACGGGGCGCCAACACCCGCCTCCCCACCGAGGCTGTGCGGGGTGTTTTGCCTTGCCGCTGCGGGCACAAACGACATGAGCCGCCTACTCGTGGCAGCGGAGGCGGCTGCGGTGGACGGAAACGAGGCTGTCAATATTTCCGGCTGAAGCGATGCGAACCCACCACCCATGCCACGTAAATTCCTCCCATCAACCTCACCATCATCCATGTAACGAGGGCGCTTCTGTCGTAGCGACGCAAACCCTGTGGTGTGGAGCGAGTGTCCCTCGTAACGTCCAGTGCCCCCGCCACTCAGCAGCTCCCCCGCGGTGCCGATGTTATCGTCACCGTCGCCACCATAAGCCCCACCAATACCGACACCATCATTCCCACCGCCCGCGGTCAGGTGCCTGTCATCGGCACTGGCACGGAAAAGCTGCGTGAGTAATGGTGCGGCAAACGGCAGGGTGGCGATGAAATAGTCGCCGATGGATCTCATACGTGGAATGTACGTCACCCCTGTGGCATGCTCGCCAGAACCGAACGTATCACCCGTTTCACCCACCCCGCCTGGTGCAGCTGTCCTTTTGCCGGTGGTTGCTCCAGGAGCAGAGGTCGTATCGTGGTATCGGCCTTCTGCGCGGTCCACGCGTTGACGAAGTGGAGCGGGGAGGTACGCCTCACTGTACGGGGTTCCTGTTCCAGACAAGCCGCCTGAACTGCCGTGATTCATGCGATTCATCACCAATGACGAAAGTCGTGACACCAATGAGAAGAACGGAATATTTGAAGACTCGTAACGCGTGGTGTAGTACTGCTGCTGCAATGTGTTGGAGCGACCAAGAGCGTCTGCGGCGCACCCAGTGGTGTCTAGTGTTGCAGCGGCTGTGGTGGATGACATGGCGGATGCCGCAGGTGTTGTTGGAGTTGTGGACGTTGAGGATCCCGTGGGGTTCATCGCGAGATCAAACGTACGCGTCACATCCCCACCACCGCCGCCACCGCTGCTGCTGCTGCTGCTGCCGACTTCAGCGTCCCTCCCAGCCGCGGTGGGTTTGAAACCGAGATGCGTGCGATATCGACTCGCACTCGCGGTATCGCGATTGGTGAGAAACCCCACACTGGTGGTAGTATCATCGACACCTTTATCGAGCCTCGCGGGGAACAGGGCAGATGTCAACAGCAGCGCTTCGCCACGCCCCACAGCGGCGGCGGCCGCCTGCCAGTCAATCTTTGCCGCCCCGACGGTCGTTGAGAAAAGAAGCAGCCACAGCCGCTCGTGCTGTGGCAACTCCAGGGTGGCACGCATGGAATTGGCGGAGGACACCGGCATGGATGTATAACTTCTCGAAAGATGCTGGAGTTGGGTGGCGCTCTCCACCACAAAACGCTTCTGAAATACTTGGGCGGTGTTGTCAAGGCGCAGCGCCATGCAGGCACTGTCGGCGCGGTAGAAGGCCACACAAATGACCACGCACCCGCCGACGCCACCAGCAGCAGCGTTGTAGGACCACGACGATGTGTCATTCCCGTCGCGTGTGTGGTTGGCGGTACGAAAGGCGCCGGCGATAGGGCCGCATTTTGCCTGCAGGAGCTGCAGCAGCGCACGACACTCCTCCACGGTGTGAAAGCCATACACGAAGACCGTGCGGTGAAGCAACTCGGCGAGGAATGCCGGCCGGTCATGCAGTGGAAGAAAATGAGGCGTCGACCGCGACGGCACCGCGGCGGTGGATGAAACCGACGGTGCGGCTGCGGTTGTCGTTGCTGTTGTTGTCGTTTCTGCTGCCGGTTTCATTGAATTAGTTAACCTCCGCTGCGTCCCCAACGTTGTTGGCGCGAACCGTAGGCCCTTTCCTCGTTCACGGATCTCCGACGAGAGCGAAAACAATCCCTCCATGTCCGGTGTCCCCTGTTGCTGTTGTGGTAGCCGCCGCCGCCGCTGCTGCTGCGGTGATGTTTGAGGCGTCGTCTGCGTCGAGCTGCGCCAGGCCGCCGCTTTCATGTCGAGAGGGGACCCCATCGCCGGCAAACTCCACCCTCCTGCCACAGCCGCGCCAGGGACCTCTCGTTCAAAGCAAAACCTCATGGATGTGAGAGGTCAAAGAAAAAAAAAAGTGGGCCACAGCAACATTGACACACAAACACACAAAAGCACCCACACACGCATTGAACGGAAATATAAAAGAAAACAGGCAAACAATAACAATAATAACAATAATAATAATAATAGTAAAGCTAGGGCAACGGAAAGGGAAAAAAAAAGGAAACAAAGAAATCACCTATTCTTATACACATTCATTTATCCACAGCAGGCATTCTCCCCCCTGCCCTTATACACATCCACTCACTCGCTCACTCTAAGTTACTCCTTTTGTTTGTTTTGTTTTGTTTTTCAAATCTGCCTTCAACACCCGCATTTTCGTACAATAAATGCATGCATGTATGTGCGTGCGTTTTTATGTGGGAAGATAAATAAATACACTTCTCCTCCCCACCCGCCCCGCACCTGCTTTTCGTTCTGTTTATTCTTCTCACATGACTGAAACCTCCTCCTCCTCCAATCCCCACCGCGTGCGTCCGTCGTTTCCGCACTCCGCTAGGGCCCTTCCGTGAAGGGGAAAAAGAAGAAAAAAGAAAAAACAATGATAATAAATGCAAACATACACTAAGAAAGAAAAGGAGGAAAGGGACGGAAGGGAATAGCCGTGGCTGCGGTCCCCGCTAAGAAAAGGAAGGGCTGAGTGGGGTCTGATACGGCGAGTAATATGCGCCTAGCACATCCGCCGACCGCAGGGAAATGGCACTCGTCGACCTCGTCCGAATTTTTGTGCGGGTGAAATTCGAGCCTTTTCTCAATTCCTCTACCTGTTGTGTCCGCCGTCGCTCTGCGGACATCGTGAGCCACTGCTGCAGCGCCGTTTCGTCTTCCTCCCGCAGCATTGGGTGGGCGAGAAGCTCCTCCACGGAGGACCGCTTCTTTGGGTCCCGCCGCAGGCAACGCTGCAGGAACTCCCGCACGGTGGGTTCATCACAGTCAAATTCAAGTGTCTCGTCAAGCGACATGCGTCGGTAGTGATCGCACAGCTCCGGCAGACCAAGAGATCTGTGGCCGAGCGGGACAGAGAGCGCATCTGCCGCAATACAGCCAAACGACCACACGTCGCAGGCCTTGCCGTATTTCTCCCCAAGCAACACCTCCGGCGCCATGTATGCGAATGTCCCCTTCACATTTGTCAACCCACCGCGCTTAAATACGGCCGTCCCAAAGTCACTCACTTTGGCGCGGCCCAAACGGAAGAGGACATTCTCCGGCTTGAGGTCACGGTGCACAATGTGCTTGCCATGAAGATACGCCACGGCACTGATTACATCACGCAGAACACGTTTGATTTCATCCGCGTGTTGCAGGCCGCCACTCGCAATGAGTTCACTTAATGACCCACCGGAGCATAACTCCATAAATATCGAGACACAGTTGTCATCCCTTTCGCAAAAGAGGTACTGCACAATGTTTGGGTGACTCAGTGAGCTCATGATTCCCACCTCCCTTGCAATCTCCTTCAGTTGACTATCCGCCTCATCTGCCTCCGCCTCGCGATCTCCACGCAAATAAATACGTTTCACGGCACAATGCGCGCCTGTCAGTTCCATCTCAACCTCAAACACGTTGCTGTATGCACCACATCCCAGGCGTCGGCCCAGTGTATACGGTGGCACTTTAAACTTCTTGGACGAGCGAAAGATACTCACATTATTCATTTCCTCGTCGACACCAATGCCAGAGAGCAGAAGATTCTCCACATCCCGTTTTGTGAGCGGAAGCTCAAGACGAAATGCGTAGGGCACCTCCTTTGCCATTGTACCGAGGGCAGATGCAAAGAAAAAGACGGAGCGCCGTTCCTGCCGCAACCATGAGAGTGCCAGTTGAAGCTGCCCCGCATCTAAATCCGGTGCATGCAACAGAAACACCTTGAACCTCTCTGAACCACGACGAAAGGCTGCATCCAAAGCCTCAAGGCTCGTGCGCTGAAGAATAAGAAAATTGCGGTTCCACAGTTTACTAAAGATATTTTCCGTAACGGCATGGCCGCGGCAGTACACAAGAGCCGTGATGGCAATTGCATCGAGACCGCTGTTCACAAGATTATCCCGCGTCATCCGCGTGGGAACGGGCACGATAGAACGAGATTTTGGCGAAACGCTCCCATTGGAACCACCACCACCACCAGAAGCAGAAGCAGAAGTAATGGAGTTGACAGGGAGCGAAACAAAACCGTAGGATCCCCCAGAGGAAGACTCATGCGTCCCGCCTGGGAGCGCCGCTATCGCCACATCAGACGGCACTGGAGACGTTCCTGCATCTTCCACGTTTGGACGCGGAGTGTCCTGAGAGCCTACGCCAAGGTGTTTTTGCAGCAGCAGCTCCTTCATTTGCTCCTCTGCGAACTGCGTCTGCTCAAAGTTGACGCGACTCATGAGAAGTGAGTTGTAGCGATCCTCCTTCAGCATCGCCTCCTCCTGAGGGGAGGAGGGGACGTCGTAGAGGGGATCCTCAGACTGCGGATTCTCCCCATGCGGATCATCCCGCTCATGAGGCTGCGGATGATGAATGCCTTCTCCCCATTCCCAGCATCCATCCCATGCTGATTCGTCGCCATGCGCCTCGTTTCCTACAACGCAATCCTCGTCTTTCTCCACGTTACCTCTAAATGACTGAACGACTCGAATCTCGGGGCGGCTGCTGCCTACCGCAGTGGATATCATGAGAGGATGTCGATTCGAAGAGCCCTGACCGCCACGTGAAGAGGCTGTGCCAAGGCTGCCTATGCCGTTGTGCCTACCGATCGCATCCTCATCCATCCCATGTCCCTTAATGCCTAGCCCTCCAAAATTCCATCCATTCTCATGAAACCGAGAGCCTTGGGTCCCAAAGCCCATAAAACTAATGTTCCTAGCGTTGGGATTGGTGTCGTCGTCACGGCTCCCATCGACATCACGCATCGCCGCTGCCACACGGCTCAGCAGTTGTGAAAAGTAAAAATCCCGAACCTCCTCCGCCACGGCATTGTGATCGACTAATAATAAACATACACCCGCGGAGAGCAACACAATGATGAATGTCCATGCCACCAAAACGGTACGTGCGACGGTTTGATCACCTCCAAGGAAGGCAATTGACAAAAGAGACGCAAGTAAAATAAATACGGTAATAAAAATACCGATAACGACATGTCGACAATGCTCACCCGCGCCAATAAATTCCCAGACGCGATAGAGTACGGTCGGTTTGACTTTTCCGCACCGATCCGCCGATACGACCCTTAGCAGGCGAAGGGACGCACTCTCAAATTCTTGACTGTGGGGTCCGCCCTTTTTCCAGCCCTCCACAACCTCTGCAACGGACTCTCGAAGGATGGCGTCAGACCAAACAGTGAGACGTGGCTGCAGGAGCACACCACTTACCTCTAATAGCGTGTGCGAGAGTTGGGTGTAAACATCTTGCAACGAGGCACTTAAAGTCATGGAGGATCGCCGCGCAACCAATGGTGTAGATGAGTCGTCAATTATTTCAGACAACTCCCTCTCCCGTTCCCGCTGCGTTCTATATTCCCCCGCCTCATGCAGTTTGATAAGGTTGAAGACCAGATAAAACAGGACTGGTATCTGCAGCCATTGCTGTCCAGCCTCGATGTCTTTGTCATCACTTGCACCTCCTCTCACATGATCACCCTCCGCTTCACTCAAATCGTATGTGGTCTCCTCACGGAGACAAACCATCACGGGGGATTCATAAACGCCATCCGTATCGCCTACAGATGTACGCCTACGGGAGTCTCCACAAGCAAAGGAGTTCTCACGAAATCCTACTTCATTTCCATCGTGGGACCGGTTGACAGAGTCAGCGGTGGGACTCGTACTTCCCGTCGAGCATTTATCTTCGTGTCGCAGCGGGTTGTCATCCTGTGGGGTGTACAATGGCGACAACGACATCCTGCGCAAAGGGGACTGCCCCCTTTCCACATCCCGTTGATGAAAGGAGTCTAAAATGCTTCTCTGGGAACTATCCTCCGTGGCAAAAAGAACCTCTGGGGAAAAAACTCGCTTGAATCGCAACGGACTTTGCTGAACACCACGGCCGCTGCTTCTGGGCAATGTCGGACGCCTCGGCAGAGGCGCAGCGGTGGAAGAAAACGGTCGCGAATGGGCACTGGCCTCCGCCGCACTGGTGAGCCATGGACTCAACGGCGCGGCCGAGGGTGCGTAAATCGGGAGCGCCGTTAAACTATTCATGGAAATCGTCTCCTCATTCGTCTCACCGAAGAGATGTGTTTCTAGACCCACTGTTCCCTTCGCTTGCTCGACGTCGTCCGTGGGAATCGCGGAAGCGGTCTGCATGCATGGCGGCATCGTCAACTCCGCTGCGATAAGAAGCGGCGGTGAATGCTTCAGATATTTTGTCCCCTCTTCACAGGGCCGCCCGCCTGTCGATGTCGTATGCTTCTTCGGCGAAATCCTCACATCCTGCCTTGCCGTGGCCGCAACACCCGAGACGAGTTCTTTCTGCCCCGACGACAATCCCGTCTCCATCCACGTGGGACTCGCAGCCGGCCGGTGGGAACCACCCTCGTGACCACGACGCGTTATTGTGTCTGTTACCTTGCGCTGCGAGCGCGGCCCTTGCCCTAAAAATTCCTCTTGTTTCGATATCCCATTTGACAGGATGCCAAGACAATTCATCGGAACCTTAGCATCGCCGTAATTATTCGCGCTTGTACCACTAGTAAGAATGTCGTCATTGCCGCTTCTGCTGAACCTGCTGCTATTGCTATCACCATCCACATGTGGGGAGACTTGTGACAGGGACTGCAGTGAGAATGAATACGGCGACGCAACATTCACGGCACCACCGCCATCGCCGCAGCAGCCAGCACCCTCCCTTTGAGGATGACTACTGACATACTCGTTGCTGCTAGAGTTTCTGCTGTCGTCCCCGTAGACATTGCTGCGGCAGAAGTGATCATCCACCGCCGACGTGGTGGTAAAGTTGTTTTCACCATTTCTCCTAACATTCACATGTCGGTTCACATTCCCCTCGCCATCCCCACTCTGAATGTCTTTGTGTTCATCGCTGACAGCTACGAAACCCAATTTGGGCGAAGACAACATCTCACTCAATAGCCCCGGAACGGTACACTCCACCGGCGCTGTGGTCAATGTCTGCGCCTTTTTCACCAACATCATCGCCCCCGCCGCACGCTGTGGTAAAGCCATGACATCACACCTCACAGCCGCAACAGTTGCGTTCCGTGAAGACGCTTCCGCTCCCGGCCGCAACAGCGCCGACCGCTGACCTTCCTCGACGGACACGTCTCTGGCCTCCCTCACATCCTTTCGGGTACCAGTCACCATTTTGCCTTTCGCCTCCCGCGAATCCCCTTGTTTTGGGGACACGAGGTCCTGTTGTTGATCTAGACAGGCAATAGCCGTGTCGACCATGGGCACACGTATATATATTATATATATAATACAAAAGCCTACACAACGATTTGCAGACGTTTGTTTACGTGGTCAGCTGCCTACACCAAACCCAACGCCGATCCCGCGTACTATGCTTCCAACGTACACAAATAATAACAGCCTTAGCCGTGGTAGCAGTAATAGTAATATTGATAGCAAGTAGTAGTAATAGTACTAGGAATAATAGTGATAATACTAATAACAATAAAAGGTATAAAATATTTATAGACACACACACACACAAAAAAAAAAAAAGAGAGATAGAGAGAGAGAGAGAAAAATGTCTCTTGCTCTCTCTATCTCACGTCTACCTGCCTTTCAAACCTGTTGGCACCACACACCGAGGCAAAATATGTCTCAATGCCTCTATATATGTGTATATGTGTATGTGTGTATGTGTCAGCAGCCACGGTCCCAGTATTTTAGGCAGCAAAGCAAAAAAAAAAAAAGGAGGAAAAAAAAAGAAAGCAGAAAAGTCCATGACATGTAAGAGCAAACATGCACCACAATAAGGAAGAATAAAATAAATAGAGAAGGGGGTGGGGGGTGGAGGCATCCTTGCAGAATCGTTCCTCACTGACTTCCTCCGCATGCATCGCTTACACTTTTTTTCTCTTTTTTCATTCTTTACTTTTTCTCCCACACAAACACACACACAAAAAGGCGGATGCATGCAGAAATAAATCCCTATGCTGCATGCAGCAGACGTGCAATAACTCACTTGCATTCGACTAGAGGAAACTTAATAAATAAAAATAAAGTTTTTACTTTCCTTTCCCTTTTTTTTTTCTTTCCTCTTCTTCTTTTTTTTTTTTTTTTTGTGTCTTTCATCTTTTCGCTCACTATTTTTTCAAAACAATCAGTTAAATGAAGAAACAACGAGAAACACACAAACACACACACACACAAAAAAAAAAAAAAAAGCAAGTCTTCACGCACCACATAAAATACAACACGTACAATACATGCACACACGCGAGGAGGAAGAGACGCATGAGGGCCCAGCAAGAGTTCACTTATTTTCCTTCAATTTTATTTTCTTTTCATATAAAAAAAAGAAAAATTCCCCCTCAGTTTTAAATCCCCCAACCCCTTTCCTACACGCGGTGTCTCATTCGTGTGCCCCCAAAGGAGCCACTTTGCCTCAAAAAAAAAAAAAAAAGAAAAGAAAAAAAAAAAGAATTGGCAAATGGGCGTGACGAGACAAGTGAACGCTGCACCCGTTGCGAGGATGAGGAAAAGGGCGGGGGTGCGGCGCACAATTCCGCTGCTCCCCGAGTCACTCGTAGCCGTACAGGATCTTGCCGCGCTTGCGCAGCGCGTTCACGACGTCCACGGCCGTGACGGTCTTCTTGCGGGAGTACTCCGTGTACGCCGTGGCGTCGCGCACGACGCCCTCCACGAACTTCTTGATCACGCCACGCACCTCGTCGTACATGACGCCGGAGATGCGCTTCACGCCGCCACGGCGCGCCAGGCGGCGGATGGACCCGCGGGTGATTCCACGGACGTTCTCGCGCAGGATCTTCTTCTGGCGCTTCTGCGTCCCCTTCGCCTCGCCGCTCTTCTTGCCCTTCGCCATATTTGCTTAGCTGTGTGTCTTTGCTTGGTTGGTTGGTTGCTTGGTTCTGGAAAGACGGGTGTATTGTGCGTTGTGTGGGTAGGTGGCACATTTGTGTACCGCCCATGACGACAGTCACGCAATGAAAAGAGGAAAAGAAGAGAGAGAGAAAAAAAAAAAAAAAAGAAGAAAAAACTCCGACGCTAAAGGGGGAACATACGGCAAGCATGACACAGTGCCAATTGTACACATACATACATACGCATATATATAGATGTATAGATGTATTTCTGTGTTTGTGCAGGCACACATATGCCCGTGTGCGTGTGTGTTAATTGCGGACGACCTGAAAGAGCATGAAACAAAAAAAAAAAAAAAAAAAAAAAGAGAGAGAGAAAAAGAAGGGAAAATAAATAAATGCAGCGAAGCAATGTCAGAAGCTAAAAAAAAAAAGAAAAAAAGAAAAAATAGCCGTCACGCACAGAAAAAAAAAATTAAAAAAGGGCAATATACATAAATACATAAAGATACATATATATATATATGCATATGCATATACCATTAAAAAAAAAAAAAGAGTGACGCTATAAATATATATATGCCGATATTTATATATTTGTATGCTCTTTCTCCCTCTCCTTCTCTCTCTCTCTCTCTCTCTCTGTGTGTGTGTGTGTGTATGCATGCGGGGAGGGAATACAGGAAAACAAAACAAAAAGGGAGATGCTTTTTTTTTTTTTTTTTTCCTTTGGTGTGTGTTTGTGTGTGTATTTTGATAAAACATCACCCTTATATTTATCCCGCACCAAATAAAAAATAAATAAATAAATCCGCATTTACACACACACACACACACACAGAGAGGGAGAGGGAGAGGCTGTGTGTGTGTGTGTGTGTGTGTGTGTGTGTGTAGAGAGGGAGAGGGAGAGGGAGCGAAAAAAAAAAAAAAGGGCTGTGAGTGAGTAGATAATGAATTCAGCGGTGAATACATTGCCGACCAGCCAAAAGAGGGCGAAAGGATCCAGCAAAGCAAAGCAAAAAATAATAAATAAATAAATAAATAAATAAATACAGAAGAAGAGGAAAAAGAAAAAAAAAAAATAATTTGTATTTCATTATTATTAGTTTCTTCCTTTTTTTCTTTTTTTCTTTTTTTTTTTTTTTTTTTTTGCTGCGCCCTCCCATCTCCCCCCTCATGTCCCCTCCTATTCAACCCACCGGAACGTCTCAACAAACAAACACACAAAAAACAAAAAAAGAAAAAAGAAAAAAATAGTACACCATCAAAAAAAACATCAAAAAAAAAAAAAAAAAACGTCCAGGTCCAAGAAATACAGAAAAATAAATATAAAAATAGAAAAGCAACGCAGCGCGTCTGACATGCCCACAACTTAAACGGGTCCTCCTCCCCCGCCTCTCCCGCCGCCGACGCTCCAAACGTCGAGGTCAATCGACTCCAACGAGTCTAACGATAGGGAGCCAAACGATGACCATCGAGGGAACGCCGCACGTTGCGTCGCACCACCCGTACGAGTATCACGCAGTGGAACGACCGGTCGGGCGAACTCAAGAGCGACAACCGCGTTGTCTGTCGTCAACTCATTCAACAAAACTGTTGAAAGCTGTTGGCCGGGAAGAACGCGGTCGCGCGGGTCGCCACCCACGGTACGCTCTACCAAATTCTGCACATGCGGTACCACCAACGGAGGTCCGGCAGCAGGTGTCGCCGTGGAAGATGAGGATGGCGACATTTCCGGTTGCTTCTGCCCCCCTGTGGGCAAATTAAACAGTGCGGTTTGATTCGGCTCTCTATAACGCGTCCCTGCGGCACCCCGTACATCCGCACCCGCCCATTTCCTTCTGGCAAACGCAATCACCTGCAGCGTCTTCAGAACGATGTACACAAAGAACGCGACGATAGCAACAATGGCAGCAGTGCAAGCGGCAAACAGAGCAGGTTCATTGTCGGGATGCAGGAGGAGTTCGATGTCGGCAGCGAGAAGCCACACGCTCACAAGCACCACAAGGAGATAGTAGCCGTTATCCAGCGGCGAGATGAGCGGACGGAACACCGCAACGGCCCCAAAAAAAATTAAGTGACATAAAATAAGCACAACATGAATAGCGATACAACCAGCGGCTGTCTGCGCCGGAAGTGCCGCAAACACAGCAACAACCAAGGGCGCCCACAGCCACAACGTTACCCACACTACGCGGGACCGACGCAGATTCATCAACAGCAGGAAAAAGCCATTTGCCACCGTAGCCGGTAGCCAAAAGCCGCCCACGCGCAACAACCATCCAGCAGCCAACATTGACATACACGAGTTTTTGCTCAGCAGAGTAGTGCCCTCCAAAGACAGAATGGGATAAAATGTCAATCGTGCCTTCGCCATCGACACACAAAGGACCACAATGAGGCCGCCGACAAACAGCAGAAGCATGACGATGCTCAGCACCAGCGTAGACCCTACCTTGGATGAAAGCCCCTGCATTGACGCAAAGGAGGTCCCCACAAACAGATTCACAAGAAAAAGTAACGGAATGCCAGGAAAAAAGCAGCGTTCCGCCGTCCTCGTCCATGAACCTTTGCCTTTCCACTTCAACGACAGAATCACCAAAAAATGCACCAACAGCACGCCACAGGTAATAATGAGGTTGCCTATCATCACACCGTAGAAAGAGTCCTCGATCGTCGCCACAGAAATGCTGCGATAATACCCCAACGCACGACGAGTTGCATCAGGCGTGCAGTGCATCATACTTAACACTGTCACGTAGTTAATACCCGGTACACCAAAGGGTGCGCCCAGCAGCGAGAACATTGCGGTAACTCTGCCAGCCTCACCTGTGCCGCCTGCATACACGGGTTGCGTTACAGATGACACAGCAACAGATATGAGCGGGTACAATGGAACCTTTCTTTCCCCACCACGCAGCAAATAATACCGTTGCGCATGATCCGAAAGCGAAGGCGGCGGCATGCGGCAACCCAAAACCTCATCCACTGGTGCCGAAAACTCAATGGCCTCATTCACGTTAATATAAAAATCTTTAATAGGTGAAAAACTAAGCTGAAAAAGCCCCAACTCATCCCGCACTACTTGCACGCCACCCCGAATCAACGAGAGAAAATGGGTGCAACCTCTTCGGCTCATCCTGCCCAACCTCCGCTCACGACAAGAAACTTTCAGTATACTTGCGTTCAAAATAACCTGCTCATTTCCAAGCTTGGGTGAACCCCACTCCCAAGGCAGCAACTTCCATTGGCCACCAAGCGTTCCAAGCAATCGAAAACCCTCACGAACATTAACAACCCCAACCTGAACTGACGGCCATGGCACCAGCGACACGTTTTCCGGACAAAACAAAATCAAATTACTACTAGACGGAGACAAAGTCAAAGAGGAAGTTCGAAAAGTCGTCCTATCGGGCACAGCCGTCCGGCTAGGCGTCACCGTCCTGGAAGTCGTCTTATCGGGCACAGCCGTCCGGCTAGGCGTCACCGTCCTGGAAGTCGTCCTATCGGGCACAGCCGTCCGGCTAGGCGTCACCGTCCTGGAAGTCGTCTTATCGGGCACAGCCGTCCGGCTAGGCGTCACCGTCCTGGAAGTCGTCCTATCGGGCACAGCCGTCCGGCTAGGCGTCACCGTCCTGGAAGTCGTCCTATCGGGCACAGCCGTCCGGCTAGGCGTCACCGTCCTGGAAGTCGTCTTATCGGGCACAGCCGTCCGGCTAGGCGTCACCGTCCTGGAAGTCGTCCTATCGGGCACAGCCGTCCGGCTAGGCGTCACCGTCCTGGAAGTCGTCCTATCGGGCACAGCCGTCCGGCTAGGCGTCACCGTCCTGGAAGTTGTCCTATCGGGTACAGCCGTCCGGCTAGGCGTCACCGTCACAGAAAATGTAATAAATGGATGCGGGACAGGCGGGCCTCGTCTTCTGCTTGGAGGGTAGGGGCGGCGAGCTCTTGTGCGCCTTCTCGTTCTTTTTATATCCGGTGGCAGTTCCATTTCCTCCGTCATAAAGAGAAGCGAAGGGTCGTTGAACGTGTTGCCCAAACTTGGTGGTAAGAAAGGAGGGCTCGAAATGGATCGGTTACGGCTACGCCTTTCTTCCCTCTCTGTTTCATTGGGCGTATCTGCATCCACTTGGCTGGGGAAAATTGCGGACGTGATGCAAAGGGCAACGAGCACCATCTGCAGGTACATTTCTTTTGCGTTTGTGCGGGCTTGTGAGCCGTTTCCCTCCCCTCCACCCGCTTTTTTCGCTGCCTGCTTCTTCTCGTTTTTGTGTGTAGCGGTAATTCCCGTTGATTCGCTGTTAATTTTTTCCAGTTTTTTGTTTCGTTTTTGTTTTTCGTTTTGTTTTGATTATTTGTTACCTTTTTTGTTTTTTGTTTTTCTTTTCTTGTTTTTAGTTTTTTTTTTTGTTTCGTTATTTTCGGATCGTTAAATGTCAGTTTGTTTTTTATGTTAAAAAAGGAGGTTATTTCTGATGGAACAGAAATAAAATAAAATAAATAAAAATCGTGTTTACTTTGAATCGTGACTTGCGGAAATGTGCGCAGCAGAAAGGCGGTAGTGGTAGTGGTGGTGGGATGCGTGTTAATTGTTGTAAGTTGTTGGACGATAAGATGTTCCCTCCCCCCTCCACCACCCTCTACGCACAAGCCGCCTGCGCCCCCCCCCTTTGTTGCTGCTTCTGAAACCCTCCCAAAAAAAAGAAAAAAAAACGATAATAAATTTAAAAAAGAGGAAGGGAGAAACAATAAATGAGTGTACACATGCATACATTTATTTATATATATATATAAACAAAGGAGAAGGAAAAACAAACAATTAAGCAGATGGAAATTTATTTCATTTCACGCATTCTTGCAGGTGTTATGGGATTTATCTATTCACATGACCACCAAATGGCCTTATGGAAACAACGCAACGCGATTTCAACAGGAAAAAAACACGCACAAACACACACACAAAAAAAAAAAAAAAGGGAGACAGAAAGAGATAATATGAAACTCAGCTTCACATGCCAATGTACACACGTATGTATGAACGCATGGAAAACGTCACATGGCGGCCTCAGGTAAATCTTTGCGTGTGTGCCTGTGTACGTATGTGTGGTTATAGAAAAAAAAAAGAAAGGAAAGCGAAAGGGTGAGTGCGTGCACTGGTAATGAAGGCGTCAACGTGTACCGCCGCTCCCTCCCTCCCCTAACCCCCCACACTCCTCCTCTACCAGCAGATAAATGCCGGCAATGATCCACGCATTACTGGTGAAAAAAGAAAAAAAAGAGAAATGAGGGGGCGCCGCGTCTTCTCGCTTTGCCCTGCTTGCATACGAAGAGCGAGGTAACACATAAACAGGGGAATGTGCTGAGGGACGGGGGAGAGGAGAAGGGCGGAAAGAACAAAGAAAGTAAAAAAAAAAAAAATAGATACACACATACACACCTACACACATTGTACCTGTATACATGCCATCATTGTCAATATTATCAACCGGGACGCCACCCTATTCCAATCTTCCCAACTTCAGCTTCAAATGTTCTGCTGCCCCCGCTATTTGGAGAAGTGATGGATAAACGCAAGCATCCTTCATTCCTCTTTTTCTTTTTCCTCATCAAAAGCCAGCCGTCATCATCATCATCTAAATAATAATAATAATAATAATATGGGGTTTCATTTAAATAGCGATTGACTGCATGTATGCAAAAGAGAGCAGGTATTGTCTTAGTCGGAGGATGGCGTCAGACACGGTAGCGCGTCGATGGTCTCCCAGTACTGCCCAAAGATGGCGAAAGTGCGTGTGTTTGGTAGATTCGCCTTGTGCCGCCGCCATGCACGCATCAGCGGGTGATTTGTGACAGCCGCCGTGAGAAAAACGCCGTACGCCTCAATTGAACGTGAATTACTCAGCAGGACGGAGTAATGCACCAGCTCCTCCACCAACCAGGTGAGATCCACAAGCAGGGAACACAGCGCTGGCCGGTAATCTGCAATTGCACCAGCCGTGGTGTGGCTCACTCGATTGTTACTATGGTTATGATGATTGCTGCTGCTCGCATTGACGATGGAGGTGCTGTTGGAATTTGCACCGGCAGTGGCACTGATGATATGAGACGTTGCCTCACGTGTGGCGTCGGTGGCCTCGATTCCCCGCTGGGCCGTGTAGTACTGGAACTCCGGCAGAAAAGCATCCGCGGCCTCCAACAGCACCCGCCAGAAGGACCGCACAAAGTTAAAAAGCCTCTGCTCACTGATCTGCCGACGACCGACTTTCAGGGACTTCGCGATCGGCTGCGCAGCGGCGGCAACAGCAATAGAAAAGGGCGTAGCCGGCAGAAAAGCATTGGGCGGCACGTAACACAACTCCACTCGCACACGTTCACTGGGGTTCTGGGCATTAAGCAGCAGACCGTGATCGTAGAGCACAGGGAGGACAGCGGCCATGTCGCCAGATGCGCCCCACGACAACATGGCGGCCACACGAGCAACGTCTAGTCGCACACGGACCGTCGCGGACCCACCTCCTGGAATAACGAGAAGATTTGTATGGTTTTCACCCGGCTGCGGCTGCGGTTGCGGTTGCGGCTGCCCGTCCACCTCCATTTCCTCCTCATCCTTCCCGTCCTTTTCTCTGCCTTGCCCCGGCAGCACGTCGAGGATAGGGGATGCCGTGCGGAATGTGACACGGATCTCGCGCGAGCGGAGGTTCTTCACGGGAATTGTCACAGTGTAATCCTCCGCTGCCGCAAAAAATAGTTGTCTCGGCGACACCATTGAAGATCCGCAGACTTGAAAACGTGCCTTTAAGACAAACCGTGCATCGCGGGCCTGCTTGCACTTCAAAACCACCTCCGCCTCCCCCGACACGGTGACACCACTTGGAAGTGACAGTCGGTCACATACGAGGAGGAATGACACATTCACACGCGACTTGGGATCCACGACAAAACGTCGTTGTCCTCGCATCTCCGGAACGTTGTGTAAATGGCAAACCAGCAACCGCACATCACACTCCGGGCGAGCATCAACACCAATTTGTTGTTTGCCATCATCATCTTCTGCTCCCTCCACATCCTGCGATGAGGTCCGTCCAATGCCACTATTGAGTATACCGCCGGCATTCGTCTTGGCGCTGGCAGTGGCGGCAATCGTATTGGTGCTAGTAGTAGTGGCGGAGCTGAGATCATCCCCTTCATCTGGAGTGTTATTGAACTCCATGCGGAATGGTTTCACGACGGATACAGGAAACTCAAGTGGAATATTCGCGCGGTTCACAATCTCAAACGCTACATATGCGCGGTGCGTGCCTGCTCCAAAAAGACGACCAATAAATACGCTACGCTCGGCGTTTGTAGACATCCGCTGGCCATTGGGCGCAACTATCTCAAAGAGACCCTCTCCCGCTGTAGGCAGAAACACCTCGGCTGTAAGCTGCAGCAACAGCATCTCCCCTGGAGCAGCACTGGTGCTAATGCCCACATATCCACTGAACGAGCCCGCCCCTGTTGAAAGGATGTTCAGACGCAATGGTTGGGCCTTCCCTGGTTCGAGTACTGCCGTGGCACTAGGTAGAAGTAACCAAGGTTGTGGCCCTTGCGACAAAATGGTAACGCTGTAATCCACCACCGTATCACTGAGGTTATTACGGATGGTAATACCTGTCGGCGGGGGTGAATCCTTTGCGTAAGTAAAACGACATGTGTACGTCCCCTGGCATCCAGCTACAGCCTGGCAATCGCCATGTAAACTGAGCACACACAAATATGACGATGATGGAGATGATGACGCCCAATAGGCATGCCCTAACGCTGCAATTCCACCAGCGGCATTAATATTCCCCATACCAGAAGTCGTGGCCGCCCTGGTTGGCGATGCACTCCTCATAGCGGTGGTGGTGGTCATCGTCGACCTATCAACACCCACAGTACCCTCCAGAAGACCTTCACAGCCACCACCATCAGCAGAACCAGCAGCAGCCACCCTGGCCTCCACACGTGATCCTGATGATTGTAAAAAGAGTTGCTCCTGTTTATGTTGCTGTTGTGCCATCTCATCCAGTGGGGCAAGAACAATGCGTACTGTCGCCACACTACATGGAACACTTTCATCAAGTAGTACAAGCGCCACAGCCTGCTCCACACTTGGCTGATGTCGGCTTGCATCCACACGCATCAATATCCGTACACGTTGCACTGACTGCGGCAAAATCGACAGAAGCGTTGTTGTTGTCTCGCCCGTATTCGGTACCTCTGATGTAAGAACCGTGACTGCTGCAGTTGTCGCAGTGGTGGTACGAGGAGGCGGCGGAAAAAAAAAACCAGCCGTGGGATCGGCAGCATTTGTGACTGTGTGCTTCTTCTCCCCTGTCATGGATATGTTGCCACGCGGCGTACTCGGCAATTTCAGCCCTTCGCTTTGCGGTGTCGGCATCTCGTGGAGTTGAATGCAGGAGAAAGCCACAGTGTCCTGATATGCCTTGTCCCGCAGGGGTGTGATGGAGAGTACCACAGTGTGCTGCGAACATGGGTTGGATACAACCAACTCGCCCGTGTACACAGTCTCCGCCCCATAATGCATCCGGTTCGTCTCAGCCCCTCCCACCCCTCCTATTCTTGTTGGAGCTGCCGCAGACACCGTCGATGCGATTTGCGGTGTCAGTGTGATTCTCAAAGGAACGGTAAATGTCTGAAATGCGCCTAATGTGCTGAACACCTGCACCTCCTCATCCGCCCCGGTCAATGAGTTGGAAAACTGTAATGTGCCAAGCCACATGCTGGGGGACCCTGTGACCCGCCGCCGCTCCAGGTCAGCGAGCTTTTCAAATGTCAAGGCCTGCCGCTCACGAATGATGTCTGCATTTTTTATCTTGCGTTGCCCATAGAAGGCGGCGGACAGGGCAGCAAAGTCCTCCCTCATCAGCAGACAGCGCAACCGAAAGGGGTGCTGCTCCTTCTGCCGGGAAGGCACCCCCGTCACAAGTTCATCAGCCTTCGTTAGCGCAGGCACAGACGCAACAGTGGAAGCAGCCGTCCCAGCTGCAGCTGCAGCCGGAGAAGGAGAAGAATTCGTGACGGCGGTAACCAAAGAAGTATTCATAGTGTTAACGCTGGAGGCCCCACCAATGGAAGCATTGTTCAAGCCATTGTTCGTGTTGCCGCCCATACCGCTCCCACCGCCTGTATTGGAATTAACAGCCGATGCTGCTGCCGCAATGGCAGCGGCTGAAAATGACGTGCTGGAGATCACCGCGGCGTCCGTCGTAGTCACTACGCCCGGGCCACCAAAACTGTTGTTGTTGATGTTAGTACTGTTCATTTTGTTGATGTTGTTGAGGACAAGGGGAGGTAGGGAACCGGCCTTGTTCGCCGAGGCGTGTTTCGTTTGCCCAAAAACAATTTTCTGCAGCGGCGCTGCGGCGTCGTACTGTAACACCTGCAACTGAATAAGCCCCTCCAGTTTGGGGTTCTCAGTCACGCCTAGAACCACCTCGACATTCGGCTCAACCGGCGTCATGACAATTTTACTCTCGGAGAGAATATCGGTGGTGGTAGAGGTCTCCGTCACACGCAATGCCTCCATAGAAAGGGATTCCTGTGCGATATTCATCACCCCATCACAAGAAAGGTCAAACGCCTTCCAATAGTACTGCCCTGTCACATACGCAACCATGTCATTCTCGGGGTTGAGCTCATTCACAAAATAAACAGCAAAGCGAAATGGTCCCTGGGTCCGAATGAGTTTCACCACGAGGAACGCCTCCACCGAGTGGGTCTGCAGTGGTGGCACGACAATATGATTGCTGGCAAAGCGCACTGTTGGCTCGCACTCAATGCTAAGACATAGCGGCAGGATGGGTGAAAGATTTGTCAAATGTATAACCACTTGTGTGCCGCTGCCACGATGATCGCTGGATTTCCACCGCGCGGGATTGGAATTCACGGTGGCGGTGGTGGTGGCGCTGTTTCTGGCTCTTTTTGGTGTTCCGTGCCCTGAGTGGTGATGGTGGTGGTCCGTATCCCCCTCTTTTGGAGCGGTGGTGTCGGTATCACTGGTGGAGTTGCTCCTTCCAATGCTCACAACGCCAAGATCAATGAGCGGTGTCTCCACACGCCCTTCACTCATCGCAAATGTGAGACAAAACCTCGGCAGTAGTACGCACTGTCCCACGGCTGGCAACGATCGCTTCATGGGGAAAAGCATGGCATTGTAGTTAAATCCCACGACCTCGTCAATAATCTGCGCCACGTACACTTGTGCCGTTTGCTCAATTGTCAGTACCTCGTGTCGCAGAATGCATTGAATCTGTTGCACTGTCAGATTTGGCAGTGATGTCAGTGTCCACGTAACTGCCTGCGTCTGACGTGCATCCAAACGCACGCGACCACGCGAGTACACATGCGATGTTAACGTCGAAGGTGACGCCACCTCCTCCACGGGTGAGGAGGACCGTGGAAGACCAAGTACAAGTGGTGCAGTGCCCTTCGCAACAAGGATTATGTCCCGTGTGCTGTGATTTGTCATATGCATCGTGGCGGTCGTTACGGGGCCGTGTAAGCGCAGCACGGCGTCCTCACCGAGCACGACGGCAGCCGTGGGAAGTACCACAACAACCGCCTCATCGGTACTTTCGAAATGCGGCTGCATGGGGACCTCTCTCAGCCTTCTAGCCGCACACTGTTCCTCTGCTTTTTGCTGTTGCTGCTTCTGTAGCTCATCTCCCTTCTCTGCAACCGTGGCGGATATCGCCTCATCAAGTCGCAGTATGGAGAGTCCAATCGGCAGAGGCTTCTGCCTGCAACTCAAATTAAACACTGTGAGTGACTCCTGCAGAAGCCCGGGAGTGGCAAGTTGCAGGGAGACCGGCACCTGCACCTCGGCCCCCGGCGAAAGTTTCAGCTCGGGCGTTTCCACCTGTGTGAGCGTTAGACTCGCCATCACCCGCAGCCGCACCTCGAAGCGGTCCGATGGATTGCTAAGAGTGAAACTCGTGTGTGCGAGGCGGCAGTGCGGTGGAACAGCACCGAGGTCAATGAAGTTCTCCCGCAGCAGCACTTCTCCACTGCCGACATGCGCTGAAAGACGCAGTGTGGTCTGTGCCAAAACGCTGTAGCAGCCCTGTGTCTCACGGCCCATTTCAGAAGCAATGGCCTCAACAAGAATGCCGGCAGTCACAAGACGACTTTTATGCCGCCATGAACGTTCACTCGGTCGGAAGCGAACGTAAATACGAAGCTTCTCGTGCAAAAACACCCGGTGTACGGGGCTCACAAGGGGGATAGTACACTTCGCGTCCTCAAAAAGTGACACAAGTAATGGGCGGTTCGAACGAATAAGCAAAGCGTGCGGCATCGTAAAGCGACTGCATACAACAAATGACTGCACCTCAAGCCGACTCTCGTCGCACGGCATTACAATATCCCGTAGTAAAATCTCTCTGGGTGACACTTGCAGGAGATCCTCATCCACCATGGGATTCATCTCCAGTGCAAAATATGTGATATCCGAGGGGTGTTGCAATTTCTTGACGGGTATGAAGTAACGCTGAGGGACAACACTCATTGGTGTACATTCCACTGTAATACTAAAGGACTCGGACGCACGAACCACGCCATTGCGTGGAACAAACTTGAAATGAGCATCCAACGTCTTTATAGGCACCACGGCAGTGGAAGAAACTATTCCTCCTCCTCCTCCTGCAGCAGCAGGGGCATTATTCACATGAGTACTACTAGTATTACTATTACTATTCCCAGCATTCCCACCACTCACAGTGCTGGTTCCATTGTTGGTCAAATTGCTGTTGATAATATTGCCACAGCAACGGAGAGGGTCCAGTACAACAAAAGCTGTCTCATCGGTCGCACGTAACAAAATGGTAAACTTACAGGCTTCATATGCAATAGCGTGGGTAAAAATTGCCATTGGGCAGCGCATAAAACTGGTAGCCACTACACCCTCACCGGGTTCAATGAAAAAAGATGGTGTTGGTACGGGAGTTGCTAATTTGACGGGCATCTTTAAGGGAGACAACGCATTTGCTAACTCCGCACCAGGTGCTAAAAAAGATGTGTCATTTACAGACTGCGGTGGTGAATTCCCTGCAGCAAGTCCATCTATTGTCAGAGTTGATGGGGTAGAGAATAATTTTGACCCTGCAGTGGGTCTCGTAGATGCGGCGGTGGCTTCCCCATCATCCTCACCCTCCATAGGTACAAGTGTAATGTCAACAGGAATGACGCGATTGGCCTCCTTGTCTTTTGTTTCGCACAACAAAAATGTGATGGTGCCGCTCTGTGCAGGCGGTATACATTCCGTCGTCCGTGTACATGTGAGAGTAAGTACTATAATAGTTGATTCACACGCATTCATCTCCGGCAACGCCACGCCGTCGCAGAGCAGTAAAGAAAGCAGTTCTGGATGTTGTAGCTGACGTGCCTTTGGCTTCACTGGCATCTTTTCATCCTCACTCTCTGAAAGCTCATTTGGACCAACAATACCACCACCAGCAGCTTCAGCAGCCTCTCCCAATGTCGACGTCGTGTTGGGGTCAACCTCTTTCCCCATGAGGGCGCATCGAAGCAACTCAATTTGTCGCATTGCCACCACCACCTTTTCCATCTTATTCTTGCGGCGGTAAATCTTCAACTTCTGCTCAAGTTTTTCAATCTTCTCCTCAAGCTTGCGGATGGAGCCGGAGCTCGCACCACCATGCTCCATCTCGAGCTGCATCCGTACATCGACGCCATCAAATTTGAAGAAACGGTCTGCCAAGCTCATGCCGGCATCCACAACGTTATTGTTCGCATTGCCGCTGCCGGGATTACTGCTGCCGACACCGCCACCTCCCGCCGTCTGAGCCACTGCGGGGGTGTCAAGCTTCAAACACAGTTCCCGTCGGGTGTTGCTGGTGTTGACCACACTGAAGCGTGCACCGATACGCACCGACGGTGGCATTCCGTCTTCGCGACTCACGGCCGTGCCGCTCCCACCGCCACCAACAATTGTTCCTTGTACCTGCTTCAAGGTATGCACCGGCAGTGGCACAGGCACCACACCAAAACTCCATGAATTGGGGCTGACGTCAAACGTTTCCGCCTTTGTGACTGTTGCTTTCATTGTCATAATAACCTCATTGGATGGGTCGAGCACATTGGTAAGCCGGATACGTTCCTCAAAGCTTCCCTTGATGCCCGGGTAGAAGGAGAGCTCCAGCTCCTTAGTGGCATATGGACGGATGCGACAGTAGATGCACTTTTTATCAGAGTTCTCCATACGAATGTGACCCGCAGTGACGGAGCGAGACTTGGACAGCTGCAACAGTAAAAGCGAGTTGCACTGATTCACGATAGGGAGTTTCGTCGTCCTGCGCTCGCCAATGTTCACCTCACCAAAGTTCTTCGTTTTTTGTCCATTCAGCTGAAAGCGAGTTCTACAGAGGCGATATGACAGACGCACAAACCGCGGCACCTCAATCCCTTCCACCGCAATGCTGATACCGTCTTCCTTCGTCACAGCATCCACGTCTCCAGTCGTGCGATCTATGCGCACATAAAATGTACGACCACCACGAGGCTCGAGAGTGATGCTACTCGTCGCCACGGTGTGATGTTGCAGCGCACTGACAACGCTGTTCCGCACCTCCTCCGCCCGCTCCACAGAGAACTGCTCTACAACCTCCTCGCAACCATAGCAACAATAGGCACGCAACTCCGCCGCAATGGCCTCAAACTCATTTTCTGACATGCCTTCCAAAAAGAAGGTTTCAATCTCGGTACTCGAGCTCTTCAACTGCAGCACAAGTGGGTATTCCACCTTGGACTGCAGAGAATACGCCACAATAAGAGGAACATTCGTAAGTGATCGAAGCCCAGAAGCACAGGTTCCATCCTCGCCACGCCCGCCACCGTCAACGTTCCCATCGTCACAGTGCGCCTTACTTTCACATGTGTACAACTCATCATGCAGCTTTGTCTCGGATGGCGCCATGTTGTTTGCCTCTATGTTCACAATTATACGGTCCTCAGCAGGATTTGACACATTCACAATGGTGAGTTGCTTGCGGTAGGTGGAGTTGACACGCTTTGGGTTTATGCGCAAAGTAATGGGTAAACTGCTTCGTGGAGCAACGGAAAACTCCTCGAGTGTTTCACAACCCCCCGCCGCTGATACACGTGGCTGGACACCCTCAATGGAGACAATCTTGCTGCGCAGTTGAACATATATCGTTGTGGGCAGTGGTGAGGGGTTTTCAATGGCAAATGTGCAACGCCGGCTCTGTCCCACCTGACAGTCACCAAAATTGATATTCTTCTGTGACGCAACAATGGTACTCGTAAAGAGGGTTGCCACACTACGTATCAACAACCGCTGTTGGTGTCTACCACTAATATCGCTGCCAGCATTAGCGGCCGCACTGCCTCCAACACCCGTGATGACAAGCTCAAACTCAAAATTGAGACTCGACGTCGCCTTATTTTCCTGGTCTGTGGAGGGAACGTACATGACACCCACCGGTACACTCCCCCTCTGTGGAACAATCAATACCTCATCCACGGTGACCACATTGTCGTTCTTTTCGTTACCATTACTGTTATTCCCCTCATTCTTATTCTTGTCATTACTACTATTGTTGCTGTTGGTGTTGGTCCTACTGGCGTTATTCTTTTCATTGCCGTTGCCATTGGTGCTGCATGACCGTACAAGACTTAAGACCCCCTCGCAGTGATCTGGACGGGAGTCAAGCAGTCGCACGGTCACATTCTCACGACTCGTGTTGCAAACGTTCAACTCACGAATGACCCTTGTCCCACGGTATACCTCACCAAAATCAAGCACCGGATCCGTGACGCTCACAAGGTCTGTCTGAGACTCTGCCGCGACGACATTGATGTGAACATAGACCAGCTCAGAGTTACGGGCGTCACGGAGGTTATCACACTGTAGGACTGCGCGGTATTCCTGCATGCCTCTGGTGCAGCCGGCCAGAGCAGTCGCGGAAGTTCGTACCATCAGAGTAAAATTCATTGATGCATGTCTATCGAGCCAAAGAGTGTGACCAATCTTTGGCTCTTCAAACTTATCTTCCTCGTAAAGGGAAAACTCCATGTTTTTTTGCGGAATCGTCTGCGAGCGTATCACAAAGGGAAGCGGCAGTGACGAGGCGTTTGTGACGGTAAAGTCCATCAGGTGCGTTTTGCCCGGCGCCATTGTAGTCCGCAGCTCCGATCTCGACACGGTGAGCAAAGAAAGAAAGACGCTTGCACTAAATGGGAGTGTGACAGTCTCGGATCGCACGGCCGCCACTGTGGGGGACCGGGAAAAAAGAAGTGACAACGAAGAAGTCTGCGGGTCATGCCGCCCACCCGCATCGCTCTTCGTTCTGCTTTCATTCACAGCTGCATCTCCATGGCTACTCATTTCTGTTTTACTCGCACCTCCTGAGGTGGAGTGGGGACTAATTTTGTTTGCTTGCGGATTGCATTCCTTCTTTTCATCCACAAGATGCAACGAGGAATTGAACATGGCAAAGCTGCTGCTGCCGCTACCATGACTATTGCTGTTTTTGTGCTGGTGATGGTGTTTTCTGTTGGCGTCCGTGTCCGAAGGCGAAGATGTCACGGCTGACGGCAATGATGCCGCCGTCAGTTGAATCACCCCGCTAACCATCACTGGCGGTGCCTGTACCATGACGGTAGAAAACTGCACTGGATCCGCGTGAAATATTGCCACCACCTCCCTGCTCTCTAGCGGTCCCAGGAGAAGCCTGTCAATAACGCTGATACCTTCAAAAAGGGCGCTGTAAAAGAGGGACAATGTCCCCCGTTTCTGGCGATCCTTCTGTGCGCCACCGCTGTCAATCTCATCATCGTCGAGAAGCAGCATGTCATCCCACAGTTGAAAGCGAATGACTGCAGGAACCGTCGTTGCGGTGAATTGCACCGACAAAGAAACCATCGGGTCCGTGTTCACAACACTAAAGCGACAGTACACGGGGACATCGTTCACAGCAAGAGCACCAAACTGCAGCTCACTTGGGACTACTTTTAGCATCCCCCACACTACCGTCCTCCGTCCCCCTGTCAATTTCCTCTTCTCGTTCTAGTTTTCCCCTCAGTTTTACCTTTTCTTTTTCTTTTCTTTTTGTGTGTATGTGTTTCCTTCTACCCCCTGCCTTCGCGTTGTGCTGTTTGGTTTGGTTTCCCCTTTTTGCATGTAGAAACAAAAGAAAAGAAAGGAAAGAAGAAACAACGGGCAAGTCAAACAAATAATATCAAGAGCATATCTTCTCTACATCCCAAAAATGAGAATGCGTATCCATGAGACGAACCCACTGGTCCGCGTTCCCATTGAACATCTACACAGATGCGACACGGCAACACGCGATTCAGCACCTTCAACGCACATCCGCACCCGCCCATTTCCTTCTGGCAAACGCAATCACCTGCAGCGTCTTCAGAACGATGTACACAAAGAACGCGACGATAGCAACAATGGCAGCAGTGCAAGCGGCAAACAGAGCAGGTTCATTGTCGGGATGCAGGAGGAGTTCGATGTCGGCAGCGAGAAGCCACACGCTCACAAGCACCACAAGGAGATAGTAGCCGTTATCCAGCGGCGAGATGAGCGGACGGAACACCGCAACGGCCCCAAAAAAAATTAAGTGACATAAAATAAGCACAACATGAATAGCGATACAACCAGCGGCTGTCTGCGCCGGAAGTGCCGCAAACACAGCAACAACCAAGGGCGCCCACAGCCACAACGTTACCCACACTACGCGGGACCGACGCAGATTCATCAACAGCAGGAAAAAGCCATTTGCCACCGTAGCCGGTAGCCAAAAGCCGCCCACGCGCAACAACCATCCAGCAGCCAACATTGACATACACGAGTTTTTGCTCAGCAGAGTAGTGCCCTCCAAAGACAGAATGGGATAAAATGTCAATCGTGCCTTCGCCATCGACACACAAAGGACCACAATGAGGCCGCCGACAAACAGCAGAAGCATGACGATGCTCAGCACCAGCGTAGACCCTACCTTGGATGAAAGCCCCTGCATTGACGCAAAGGAGGTCCCCACAAACAGATTCACAAGAAAAAGTAACGGAATGCCAGGAAAAAAGCAGCGTTCCGCCGTCCTCGTCCATGAACCTTTGCCTTTCCACTTCAACGACAGAATCACCAAAAAATGCACCAACAGCACGCCACAGGTAATAATGAGGTTGCCTATCATCACACCGTAGAAAGAGTCCTCGATCGTCGCCACAGAAATGCTGCGATAATACCCCAACGCACGACGAGTTGCATCAGGCGTGCAGTGCATCATACTTAACACTGTCACGTAGTTAATACCCGGTACACCAAAGGGTGCGCCCAGCAGCGAGAACATTGCGGTAACTCTGCCAGCCTCACCTGTGCCGCCTGCATACACGGGTTGCGTTACAGAAGATGCAAAGGCTCTCAATTAAACAACGGCTCAGCCTCAGATGATTTCTCGGTTTCTCAGATTCTGCAATGGGTGTTCCTCCATTGAATGAGGCTCCACTGCAGTCCTCAACCCCACTGATTTCGGAGTTGAGGAGCTGCTGAAGCTATCAAGCATATACTGATCAGTGAAGCTGCTGCTTTGCTCCTCATTGAAGCTTTTATGAAACTGATGCATTATTAATTTTGCTCATCTTAATTGATTATTATTCATGTCAGCTCGGGTTTTCCGGCTTATGAAAACGCACATTGCTCTCCAGTTCGTGCATGTAATTCCTGTATTGGCGGATTTCCATTTTACTTATTTTGGTTTTCAGCCAGCATTGTGGTTGACGTTTCGCTAAATGCGGGATTATCCAAGGCATTCGTGCCGTATTTTACAATTACCTTTTAAATTTAATTTCATGCAAAAAATATATTCGACAGAAATAATTCTTTTCAGTTTTCCTTAGTATAGGAATTGAAAAAAAAATCTATTATCAATTATTGTTACTATTATTTATTTGTTGAGCGTTTTGTCACCAGATGCTGGTCCAGCGCCGAGGTCCTTGTCAATATGTTTTTTCGAAAGAGATTTTTTGATGTTCTTATTTTTCATATTGACTCTTTTATTGTCGCAGTTGTTTTTGGAGCCGTTTTTCTCCCTCATTTGTAAATGTACCCCAAAATGTGCGACAGTAAAGCGTTTTGCATCAAGGCAGATGTCAAATGTATTGTATTTAATCATGATCCTTGTTGTTTTTGAAGTTTTTAATTGGAAAAAAATTCCTGCCTAATTCGGGAATATCACCTCCATAAGTTTTATGTATGGCGATATTGGCAGTTTGGCGGATGCAATGAAAAAAGGTAGGTTAATCTTGTCCATTATATATATATATATATATATATTCCATAGACTTATTGTATTCCGTCAGAAGAAAAAAAGGAAAAACATCTCTTATAATAGATATATCTCTTATTCCTCCTCAAAAATGCAAAATAATATATATATATAGTTCCTGTTTTTCTTTAGAAAATATTCAACTGGGCTTCTGGCCGAATCCTGAAGTTGTAATAGAAACCAAACAAGATAGGAATAAGAAAGGAATGAATGGAATAAGAGTGGACCCGCCATATCCTCAAACTTCAACACCAATTAATTGTTTGTTTATATACCACCCGTTAGCCACAATCGTGGCCCGCTCACTCCATTCCAATAAGAAATATATTTTTTACTTACGACGTGGCAGACCTTTGGGGTCCTCCAGCCACAAGACCCCGCCGCGTTGTGGGAATCAAAAGTGACTGAGTGGAATGGTAAAAATAAAAACAAAATACTTTAGCCTCTATCGCCTCCTTGCCTCTAGAAAGTCGTGTTCTTCCCAAGAATTCATACGATAGGAAAAGTATCATAAAGGAGTGCATTCTTTTTTCAGGAAGTACATAAATTAATTAGGTTAGCCAGCTCTCCTGCGATCATTCTCTTCAGAAGCTCCTATAATGAATATAATAAAGGTAATTGTAATAATAATAATAACTTCAACAAAAATAGATACAATAATAATAATAATAATATCAATAAAAATTTTCTTAATAATAATGGTAGTAGTAGTAGTAGTAGTAGTAATATCATTATTAGTAGTAGTATTAGTATTTCGGTTAACCGTTGAAACAAGACGACGCTGAAAAGACCGCACAGCGTTATCCCAATGTGATTTGCCTGTGTAGCAATTATAGATTTCCCATTATTTATACATTTGTCAGATTGCTTACGGTTATTGATTTTGACCACATTATTGTCAGTTTAATTAATATTACCTTTTTTTTTTTTACTTCTAACACCACTATCACTCCTTCGACGGTAGTCAACCTCTTCCACTTCATGATTTCTTTTTAATAAACTCTTAACAACAATAGCAAAACAAAAAAGGGAATAATCTTCCGGGCAGCTGGCCGGATCCTGAAAATCTATGGAAACCAAACAAGTTAGGAAAAAAGGTTCTTTAGTTAGTTAATTGCTTCAATGTTTTCTTTTATTCAATATATAGAATTCTGTGGACCATTAGCATGGTCCTTTGTCCTCAGTTAGAATCTGAATATTATTACTTACGAATTGGCTGTCTTTGGGCTCCTCCAACCACAAGACCCCGCCCCGTGGTGGGATTCAAGGGGGTGGGTGGGATGGCAAAATAAAAACAAAATTTATCTGGCCTCTATCGGCTCCCGGCATCTACAAAGTCGCGTTCTTCCCAAAAGATTCATACGGTAGAGATTGTCGTAAAGAGGTGCATTCCCTTTATCAGGATATACATACATTAATTAAGTTAGCCAGCTCTCCCGAGATCATTCTTTTCACAGGCTCCTATTTAAATAAAAATAAAAACAATTTATTTTTGAATAGTTAAATCAATGGTTTTTAAACAACAACAATATTGATAAAAAGCAAATAAAACAATAATGATAGCAATGAGCCGTAAAAACATGTCCAAATAAACTTCTACATAGTTTATTTTATTAGTATTATTATTACTATCGTTCATTATTATTATTATTATTATTATTAAAATCAATTTTTTCAGTCAATAATTGTAATCCATTATGCAAAAAGATGTCAGTTTTAATGATTATTCGCTGGCATGAGTCATTAAGAAGTCAAATATTATTTACCATGCCGTTTAAAATAAATATTACACCAACAATTTTCACGCACGACTGAAGAAAATTTTAAGGCTCCCCTTTCGCCTCCAAGCAAGGATGGGGACAGACGGGTTTATTTTAATGAGGTTTTTTTTTTTTGACAAACCGAAGGCTTTGTCCTCAAATAGAAAAAGAAAGCAGTACAAAGAAAGCGTTCATTCATTTCCTCCCATTTAAACAAATACCCCATCACAATCCCATTCACATCAAATGCCGAAAGAAATTTTGGTAAAACCATAAGTTACGTGCTCTCTAAGCCCGGGTTGTAAATCGCCCCCACATAGATTCTTGGAGACAAATTTCCAAAAGCAATTTTGTCGCAACTAAGTTAAAACTCAAAACACAGAAACCAAAGACAAAAATAGGTTTATGAAACAACAATGCAAAATAAATATTAGTTCCTTTTAGTTGTGCACTTTGGCAACCTGTTTCAGAACACTACAAAATCCAGCATCCAATGAAACACACGCGCACAGAGAAGCAAAAAAAGACTAATCTTTCATTGCCGTATACGTTAGTTTTGGGTCAAAATTTCGTCTTTGAATTTCTTCTTCAAGGTATCCAGGAAAGTCAAGAATACGCTTAATAAGAAAAGAGCTATACAGTGTTACGCAGTGGGAAATAAATAAATACCGAAGTCGCATAAAATATAAAAAATGAGCCCTAGTAACTGCTTTTAAGATCAGGCTATTTTATCAATGTGAGTGATATAATGGCTCGAAAAACTTATATTGCCTTAATCTAGCACAGAAAAAAAAACGCCTAATTTCTACTTTATTCACTTCATATATTAAAGGTTTTCAACTATTAAGGGAACACTGTAATTCAATTGTACATCAAGACACATCACACATATCAACTATCCAATAAAACTCTTTTACTTATGGATGTATACACAATGACTAATTCACTTACTCTTAAGTTCGTTGGGCTCAATTGTGGCCCGTTCACTCTATTCAAAAAAAATACATATGTATATTTTTTTATTGCTTACGAAGCGGCAGACCTTGGGCTCCGCCAGCCACAAGGCCTCGCCGCGGGGTGGGAATCAAAGAGGGGGTGGTGGGAAAGTAAGAAATAAAAAGTAAAGAAAAATCCGTCCTGTCGCTATCGGCTCCCTGGTTCCTTCAATCACCGTCTTCCAAAAATTCATAAGGTAGAAAAGAATCGTGCAGAAACATCTCCGTTTCATCAGGACATATTCATTTAGGTGACCAGCTCCCCCGCGAACATCCCTTTCACAAGTTAAAAATAAATAAATCAAAACAACATTAAATAAATTTTAAAATTAGGCGCACCGACGCTTCCCCCCACAAGTGGCGGGGCGGCGGTAGGAGATGTACATCAGCGCGCGGCCGTCGCAGAGAATGCACGGGCAGGCGGCACGGGGCCAGCACGCAACGGCAGCCAAAACAAAAGATGGTCACACCCGGAAGAACCAGGCGCAAAACAAACGGCGGAAGATACGCCAAGCACGCACAACCAAAGACAATGGCATATATACATCCACACCGCTGCAGGGTGCTCAAATATACGCGGCGCACCTCTCGGTGGGTCACGCCGAGAGCGGCGCACGCGCCCCGCCCCGTCCTCAGCACGCAGCACCGGCGGTCGCCACAGCGGCACTGACAAGCAGCAGCAGCGGCACCTGAACCCACAAAGGGCCGCCGAGGCCGCTCCCGTCGCCAGGAGTCGGTGCCTTGGAGGTGGTTGTGTCCTTGGCGGGTGCATTGGTGGTGGTGGTCGTTTTTTTTTTTTTTTTTTTTTCTTCTCTTACCAGTCGTAGTAACTACACCTCAATTGTGCAGCTCTGGTAAGCGTACGAAGGAATTCAGTAGCAAGGATAACCTTACTCCGCGGGCAGCCACTATAGAATGGCTCCAACATCTGCCCTTCCGGCCCGTAAAACTAAGTAACAACTACTCATCGGGTTTGAAGCATGAACAGCAGGCGCTTAGCTTCCTCTCTAGTAAGAGTACTAGACCCTGGCACCACGTTGAGGTGGCCGGCTGAGCCAGGGGGTGGTGGTCGTCGTAGTAGTAGTAGTTGTTGTTGTGGTGGTGGTGGTGGTTGTAGTTTGATCCTGGCCCTCCCCAGCCTCGACAACAGCAACATCATACTGCCCCTCCTCCTGAGCCGTGGCGCACACGCACGCACAGCAGAGGGCAAGGAAAAGCACGCAGAGGACGCGGCGCAGCATCATTGTCACTTGGGCCTTTGTGGACTTCG